GAAAACGCCGGATGACTTGGAGTCAGACACGTGTGTTTAAAAAGTTTTAGAGGCTGAATTCTATCATTTAATTCACCTTTATTTGTGGTCATGATTCCCACTAAATTCAGCATCTGCCTTTAAACTCTCTACTAGGAAGCAGAAAGCAGCTTGAGCCCCAGGGGGAGCATTTAGGGCTCACTAATAGACCCAGAGAAGCTGTTTATGTTCCACGAGGCCGATCCCCAAATGGAAACTACTAGATGCAAACTCTTTTTTCTTTATTATTATTATCATTATTATTTTTTAAATGAGGGTTTTGGTTAAATAAAAAATAAACTAATATCCATCAGGTGCACTCAGTCACTATCACCAACCAGAGATGCTTAAACTAGGGTGACCAAACGTCCGTATTTCCTGGGACATGTCCGTATTTCACGTCCTGTCCCGGGCGTCCCGGGTTTTTTTTAGAAAGTAAGGAAATGTCCTGTTTTTTAAATTACCTTAATTGGACCATTAAATTTACAGGCACTAGGGCACTGCGCACGACGCTGCGTGTGACGTAAACCCAGTGCGGGCAGCCCTGTTCTTAATCAGAATATAGATTGCGTGGCTGTCAGTACGTCAACAACATGCAAAAGCGCAAATGTATGTTTACCGACGATTTACAAAAGAGTTTCCCTGCTTTCAGACCGGGTCGAGACAAATGGGAGGCCTTGTGCACAGTGTGCAAAGCAGGCATGTATGTCTCGGTGTCCAATGGAGGTGCAAGGGATCTGAAAAGCCACCTGGACACCGAAAGTAAAGATAGTCTGTTGATATGTTTGTTCATTTTTGGTACATTTTGAGTTATTTTTGCTACACAAGAGGAATTTTTTGTTAATTAGATCATTTGTTAATTTATTTTTCCCAATAGCCTACAGAACAGACATTATTTCGTTCATTGCTGAGGCTGAGTATCATCTGTTATTGGGAGTTGAGAGTTATTGTTAACTTTTATTGTTAAGAGAGGGATGTTTAGATGAGACATTATTTCTTTCATTGTGCTTTTCATTTCTGATTACAGGAATTGTTAAGCATTTTTAATAAATACATTTTGAATAAAAGGACAATTTGTTATTGTATTTATTGCTGTTGACTTTTACTGAAAAGCATTTTTAATAAATCAACAGTAAATATTATGTTATTGTAGGATTACGTACAGTAGGTCTATGTTAAAGCGAGTGCATGCCACAGACACCTCTATGCATGGGAACAGAGAACCCCCCCACCCCAAGGTGTCCTGGTTTTCCCAAATGAAAATATGGTCACCCTACTTAAACCTCAGTGGTTTGGAGACATTCCAGAACTTCCACTCATTTATAGGTAATTATTTACAACCATGTTAAAATTTTCGATCATGTTTAAATTAAATAAATGCAAATAAATAAAAAAAAAAACACAATAAAAAATGTGATTTTAAGCACCCAGCTCTTGTTTAAAAGATAATTAATGTTTCTCTTTATTTCACAAAACAACAAATCAGTTAAAAAAAATACCAAAAAATAAAAATTTACTAACAAACAAACAAATTTGATCTTTTTTTATATGATTCATTAAAATAAGGGTGATACATATTGATACTTGATCAATTTATATCTACATGTCTATTTAAAAGGAACATTTATCTAAATCTAGGATATATAGCTAAATCTCTAGCCCTTAAATAAAATCAATCAGTAATAAAAAAAAAATGATTTAGTTTTATTAGAAACTCATAAGCAGCTGGTATTTAGGTTTCAAAGCTTTAAATTACTGAAGGTTTGAGGCTCAAATGTTTTCCTGTCAGAATTAGCTGCAGGACATAAAACAGCATTAATGCCAGAACAGACATAATAAGCGTTTAGGACACATAATGAAGCGGCTGTAGGAGTTTAAAAACAGATGTTGGTGCCTGTACCTCCATGCAGAACCCAGGGCTGACCCACCGACCTTCTGCCGGGACTCCTGGAGAAACAGACCCACACAGCGGCGTCCAGAGACGGAGTTTAACTGTAGAGCCGAACCAGAGACACCAGCTGAAGGTGGTTCAGAGGAGAAGGAGGACGGAGAAAAACACGGAGCCTTCTTTTCTGCTGTAAACAGTCCGGGACTCTGCAGCCCTCTGCGGCTGCTTCACCCTGGGAAAAACACAGAGAGAGGGGCGCCATCTGCTGGCGGAACCATGTACAGCAGGACATCAGGCGACAGGGCGTTTTGATCACTTTTAACAGTTTATTATTGTTATTAAAATGTTGTTTCAGACACATTTAAAATAAAAAGTTACAACAGAAGAAGACACACTATCTATCTATCTCTCTATCTATCTATCTATCATGTGTTTGTCTGTCTGTCTGTCTGTCTGTCTGTCTGTGTACTAAGGACATAGGGACCCCTATTTCATCATTCTGCTTCATTCTATCTCTATTCTCCCACTCTGCAGAATCTGTTAGTTCAATCTCTAGCGTTCTGCTTTCTCTGCTTTTTCTCATAGTAGCTTCGCCTCATCTGTTCCTGTTTGGATGTGACTCCAAATATCAGCTGTGCTGCTGCCATCATAGATGTTGGAGATGGCCTGTTTTTCCAATGTAGTCCTGTTTCTCTCACTGTGACTGGCTGGATGTGCTCCCTTTCATCCTTGGACATGGGAGCTGGCTTGGAGCTCGTCTGCCTGGTTATGTGTTTCCTGGACTGGGCCTTTTACAGCTGCCTTTTCTATCTCTGCTTCTGTCTCCTTGAACCCCAGTGGGCCTCAGCAGATGGCCGCTTACACTGAGCCTGGTTCTGCTGGAGGTTTCTTCCTGTTAAAAGGGAGTTTTTCCACTCCACTGTCACTACAAGCATGCTTACAAGCGTGTGAGGGATTGCTGAAGAGTCAATTAGTCGATGCAATCAGCTGGTTTTCCTTAGATAGAAAACTTAGAATCAGTTTTATTGGATGATCTGGTGAAGTGTAAAGTGCCTTGAGATGATATGTGTTGTGAATTGGCGCTATAGAAATACACTAAATTGGTTTAAATTTAATCTAGCTCAGGTTTATATAGGTCAGGGGTCTGACAGGGATCTTTGGAGCCTCTACAATGGCTCCTAATAGTGGCTAGAAATAAATAAAGAACCAACAAATGGTTTTGAATATATTATTAAATACCATTCTTAGGAGCTTTAGCGATTAGACAAATATATTTTAACTGAATTGTGTTAACAGAATGACTTTGCAGAAGCAGAAACATGTTTTAGATATATATTTCTTGTCAATAGTTTGTGTATTTTATTTTATTTCTTTACACAATACTCCCTGGCATATGGAGGACATACTGGCACAATAAAAAATCAACACAAAACTAGATCATGACACACTTTGTGTTAAATGGTTAAAAACTAAAAATCACAGTTTGGTGTTTAATAAAATGGGTAAAAAAAATATACTATTGCAGAACAAAGCTTATAAGTAAAGTCTTATTTAAAAGTCAGTTAATTTTTGCAGCTCATTTTAATTTAGCCTGGCTAGGGGTAAAATGGCTGTCTGGATTTGAAAGATTGCAGACCCCTGTTATAGATTATTCCATCACACCTCACCTTAGCTAGTTTATCTCACCCTAGAAAAAAACATCTCCCATTGATTTAGTGGAGCTTATTTGATTTTCATTTTATTTAAGCACTGCTTACATGATCTTATTTCCTATGCTTACCTCAGCTTAGATAATTCTTATTTTTTTAATGTTTTTAAACTATCTAATCCAATTTTATTATGATCTTATCTTACCTGACTATGGATCTATTCAATTCAACTCAATTCAAGTCAGTTTATTTCTATAGCGCCAGTTCAGAACACATGTCATCTCAAGGCACTTTACAATTAAATCAGATCTTACAGTCAGATTGGTTAAAAGTTTTCTATCTAAGGAAAACCAGTTAATTGCATCGACTCATTGACTCTTCAGCAATCCCTCACACTAAGCATGCTTGTAGCGACAGTGGAGAGGAAAAACTCTCTTTTAACAGGAAGAAACCTCCAGCAGAAACAGGCTCAGTGTGAGCGGCCATCTGCTGAGGCCGACTTGGGTTTAAGAAGACAGAAGCAGAGACACAAAAAGCAGCTGTAAAAGAAGAGCTCCGAGCCAGCTACCATGTCAGAGGATGAAGAGAGCACATCCAGCCAGTCACGGTCAGAGAAACAGGACTACACTGAAAAACAAATCTACTAATTTTATTTATTCAAAGGTAATTGTATGCTACTTTACCTAAACTTTGTTTATATATACACGGCAACATTATCTAAGAATGAGTAAAAATGGCTTAAATTAGTAAATTTACCCTCAATTTGAGCAGGTAAATAAGATGGTTTGCTGATGGAATTATTATTTTTTACTCTTATAATAAGATAATTAGATATTATGCACTTAAAATAAGATAATGCAGTTGTTTTTCCTTATTTTAAAGGTAAATTGTCTTGTTCCATAGGCAAAATGTTTCAAGAAAAAAATGCACTTATTTTAAGAAAAAAATGACTTATTGAGATTAGATTATTTTTGCAGTGTATGTACTGTTTGCCATACATGTTCCAACGTTGGGACGAGACTAACCACTGGATGGCGAGCTTGTAGTGAGAATTATTTACCACAGTCTAAAAAAGTCTTTAAAAAACTGTTTATTTCCGCAAATGAAACAAACTAATAAATGTGTGTAGGTATCCTATGAAGGCAAGCATTAGTCTGTGCTTTCTATCTAAAGTTTAAACTATGGATCAATTTAAAGCACTTCTTTTGAAGGCTCCCTAGTCAAATGTTTTCCAATAGCAGACCAAGTAGAAATGTTTTAACCTTTAGTCTGATCATGCAGGGTCGGCTTGTGACGACTTCCTCCTGGATAAACATTTGTGATGAAACATTTCCAGTCCTCATCCATAGTTCCACATATTTAGAGCCTGAATGAGCAGAAAACATTCAGAGTAAAGAAGGAAGATATAAACAGGACTGAAATAAAACCTCTAATTATGTAAATAACACCAGTTTCTTTATTTTAATAACTTAATACCAGAGCCTGGCCAGCTTGGATCTGGTTCTTTACTTTTTAAGGACAAACGTTTCCTCACTGAGGGAATTCCTGAACTCCGGAGAGTGTTGAGAAACCCCCCCCCCTCCCTCCCTTTGCCTTTATGACTCTGTGTGTTGCAGTGCTGAACCAGACAAGCAGAAACTCTAAACCTCGCAGCATGCAGGTAAACAAACCTCTCAAATTCCTTAAGATTTATATTTCAGTCTGATTTCTTTTCACACAGACCGTCTCTCTGCAAACAAAACAAACAAGTGTTTATATAAACCATCTTCCTGCCTTTTGTTTGCAGTTGCATTTGTTTCTTAGTTTACCACTGTCTCTCACTTTGCTGTCACCGATTTGGTAAGTAGGCATCATATTTAACCCAGAGGTTGTATTCATTTCCTGGAGTTCATTTTTTCAGACAGCTATTTTCATGTATTATAATTAGCATGCCCAAAATTTGTAGGTTAGTAGTCTATTTTCATCTCTGTTCTGAAATGCAATATCTATGGAAGAAGATTAGGGCCACTGAAAAAAAAAAGTGAACTGATTATTAAATATATTTCATATAAATATATTCTTTTTTCCTCAGAATTCTGACTTTAATCTCAGAATTCTGAGGAAAAAAGAATATATTTATATGAAATATATTTAATAATCAGTTCACTTTTTTTTTTCAGTGGCCCTAATCTTCTTCCATAGATATTGCATTTCAGAACAGAGATGAAAATAGACTACTAACCTACTTTAATCTCAGAATTCTGGGTTTAATCTCAGAATTCTGAATTTTTTCTCAGAATTCTGACTTTAATCTCAGAATTTTTGATTTTAATGTAGATGGGCACCATGAAGGAAGGAAGGAATGAAAGTCAGAATTCTGAGAAAAAAGTCAGAATTTTGAGATTAAAGTCAGAATTCTGAGATTAAAGTCAGAATTGAAATTAAAGACAGAATTTCGAGATTAAAGTCAGAATTCTCAGAAAAAAAAATCAGAATTCTGAGATCAAAGTCAGAATTTGGGAGAAAAAAAAAGTCAGAATTCTGAGAATAAAGAAAGAATTCTGAAATTAAAGTCAGAATTCTCAGATTAAAGTCAGAATTGAAATTAAAGACAGAATTTCGAGATTAAAGTCAGAATTCTCAGGGGAAAAAAATTAGAATTCTGAGATCAAAGTCAGAATTCGGGAAAAAAAAAGTCTGAATTCTGAGAGTAAAGAAAGAATTCTGAAATTAAAGTCAGAATTCTCAGATTAAAGTTAGAATTCTGACTTTCTTTCTCATATTATACTGAAATAAAATGTAAAAATCAGTTAAGTTTTAAAATGTTTTCAGTGACCCTAATCCTCTTCTGTAAATATCTTTTAAGACAACTCTTTTAAAAAGGAATACCAATCTAATGCGTTCTTCCTTCAGTTGTCAGCAGCGAGTAAACTGCAGGTGGGGGTCATATGGACAATGGTCTGAGTGTGATGCCTGCACCCGTACAAAGGTACCCAGACATACTACTCAACATTATCGACATTTCAAAACAATTTCTGGAGTATCTGGAAAAAATCACAGTCACGTTATGTAATTTAATATACTTAATTATAAATTTAGTCCATCAGCCTGAGTGTGTACCATCTTAGTATAGAAGTGATAGGTAGATTACTTACTTTAATTTCAGTTGTGAAATAAAGGCTTGAGTTAAACAATGTTTTCCTAATTAAATATATCAGAATTAAAAGCGATAAAGAAATGTGGAGTAAAAAAATTTTGAGATATGTCTGTTCTTAGCCTCACAGGCTCCAAATGAAGGTCATGAGAGATAAGAATGAGTTACACAGCTTCCTTAATGGCATGAAGCGGGGGACTGTTGTTTTGAGGAGATCCATCTGGCCAGTGAAAGATATATTAACCTATCAGCCAACGGCCTTAATTAACTAAAGTTGTTTTTCCTCCAAATTAGTGTGTCTGAGAAAGTTCTTTAAGTAGGGGCGGGATAGTTCCAAGGGAAAGTCTGTGTATTGGGAGTTGCTGTATAAAAGTATGTTTTTTTTTTCAAGAAATTCCTTTGTCTCAGCTTCCTAACTCTACAGTAAGCAAAAGGTTCACAGGTTTATTAGGCTTTTCTAATCTTATTTTGTCTTTCTACGTAACTTTAACTTAGATTATTGTAAGTTATTTAACTTATTCAAGTTTCACCTAATTTTAGGTTATAATACAATATTTTAGCTCAATTTAACTTAGTTTATTTTAAACACAGCAAATCTCAGCTTATCTTATATAGCTTGTTTTATTTGATAGGTTATTCCATCGTGTTATATATGCTTACATTTATTTAGTGTATCTGATTTTTTAGTTTTACTTTAAAATTGCTTACATTATCTTCTTTCCTATACTTAGCTTAGCTTAGTTAGCCTTTTTTTCAGTTTTGAAGTTATCTTATACATTTTTATTCTTACTTGTCTTAACTGACCAGTAATCTATTAATTAAATTTAATCAAAAGTAATTTCAGTTTTTTTAACTAAACTTTGTTTAGCTTACTTTAACGTATCTTTTGTGTCTGTATCTATTTTTATTTTATAAGATAAAATAAGCTGGTTTCATACTTTGTTCAGTTCACCTTAGCTTGTTTAATCTTTGCAAAGGTTATTTTCATTCATATCCTAGTTTACTACTAATTTATTACATCTTACTTTATATAGGTTAGATCTTTTTAGCTCATTTGAAGTAATTTGATTGAATATTGACAAACATTTATCTGACCTTTAACCCAGTGTTTCACAAACTTTCCTTGCCTATAGTTTGTAATTGTAAACATTCCAATTAAATATGATATAACTTCCTTTAAATGGCAAAAGTACTGCAATTAAAGTGTTATTATCGGGACTTTAACTGTTCAATTGAACTTATTTATTTATTTTTTAATTTACATGTACCCTGCAGTTACACAGGGTCTCCTCTAGGGGCTAATTTTAGTTAATTATTTCCTTCAGCGTTTGTTTTAAATCTTTTTTCAGTTGATCTAAGTTCACTTTTATTGACTTTAATGTTTGCTATTCCACCTTGCAACATAATTATTTTACATAAAAGAGATACAGCCTCTCTTAGCTCAGCTTACCTTGGCTAGTTTAGTCATATTTAGCTTGTTTTATCATACATATTGGCATAGATACGTACTCCTATTTGATCATGTATTGTATCAAATGTATGTTTACCTACGATTGATTTTTTGTTTGCTTGTTTGAAATGTTTATAAATAAAGTAGCCTTAAAACTTAGCTTAGGTTAGCGTAGCTTAGCTTAGTTTATTTGCACCTATTTTAGCTCAGCCTAGTTTTTTTTTTTTTTTTAGCTTAGATAGCACTACTATGATAAAAGATGACAGGCTGTTTTTTATTTGCTTAATGTCACAATATAAAGGGCATGCTAGTTTGTACACTGTTAAAAGGGGTCAGAAATCTATCTAACATTCCTAATGTTAGTACAGTGTCAGCCATAACAGCAAAATGAATAATGGTCCAAATATATTTATATATATCGCTATCAGGATGGCCTTAGCAACAAAAGTTTTATATAGATTGAACTGAAACAAATGTTAAAATAATTTTTACCTCCTCAAGCATCATTTTTTAACAGCGGGCAGCGGTTAAAAACAAGCTTTTCCTCTGCACTATCGCCATATACTTGTTATGTTTGTACCTACTTGACAGAAAAATTATGAAAAATTCAAAACCTGCAAATGCAGAAGACAAATTCAACAGAAAATGGCAGCATAGGAAAAATCTTAAAGTGAAGTTAAGAGGTACAACAGCATGCTTATCAATGACCTCGTCAACTACAGGGATCCGTGATTCCTGAAAGAATAGGAATAGCAGACAGCAGTACAGTGAACCAGTATCTTGCTCTTCCTTGTTCTAATCTAGACAGAGATGCTCTGGCTATTTATATTTTTAAAAGTAAAGGTGTCATTCACAACAGTGGGATAAACAAAGAGACAAAACAGTCCTTGAATAATCAGATATGCAGTAGACAGGCTAATCCTAAACCATAAGAATGTATCAGAGACAGACACTTGCTTTTAGGTTGACCTGCTCTGAGCAAACACTTTTTAATGGAAATAAAGACGATTGCTGCATAGCTTAAGCTTTTTATATACATAGTTAACAAAAAGCCAACATCAATACACAGACATGCTCAGGTTGTATATCATATTACCTGTCTTTTGAGGTTTTCTTTTTTTATTCCCAGAAACTAAAACAATGCAGATTACTCTCGTGGCTTTCATTTTGCTATTAAAGGAAAAGTCCGGTCTGTAAGGAATAAACAATAGGTCATTATTTATACCTAAAAAAACGAATACGTCCGCAGTGATTTAATGAATTTAGAGTTAATCAGTAAAATAATTTAAAAAACATTTTCTTTGGAGCGGCCATTTTTGCCCAAATATAGTAAAACTTCCCTCCTGCCATCTTCTGGCAGTGATGTCACGGTGCGGTAAGCCTAGCGCCATTCTCCCCGCTTTACAAGCAAAATCAATGGGAACTACTAGACACATCTGCAATCAACAACAATTATTGAAGATTTCCAGAGGACTTCACCATTGAAATTCACCAGAGCTATAGTGAAACTGACAATGCCCACGTGCATGGCAGCTGGATGCTGGAATACATCGGGTAAAGTGGAAAAAAAAGAGTTATTTCACCATTGAACCATTGAACTTCTGGCCAGAGAAAAAACACGTAATATGTAGCCAACATTTGGAAGAAGAAAGTTTTCAAGATGACTTGGATAATAGCGCGTTGTGACAAACACCAGATACAGCACTGGGACTTGATCAACAGCCGATACCGCACCGTGATGTCACAAACCAATAGGTGGCAGTAGTGTTCTTTGACAAACATGGATGCCTCCAGTAAAGAACATTCTAATGAAAATTACTCTAAATTAAAAAAACACTTATCGTTTGTTGAACATCGTGTAATAATTTCATATTCAAAGTACTTTCAGAAGTTTTAATTCTGAATATGACCGGACTTCTCCTTTAAAGCAAACAAAGGACAGATATCAAATGAAGCAATGATACTCTCTACTCTGTCAGAGTGCAGAAAAGTACAAGCAGGTAATATTCGGATTAGTTATGACGTGTTTGGAAAAGTGTTTAAGCAGAAGACAACTGGATTTCACTTCTTTTAGGGAACTTTTCACTTTTAATTTCTGTTCTTTAGGGTTAGGGTTTTTATACACAAAACAATTATGCTTTGTTTTTACTTCAAAAAATATTTTCCAGGCTAAAAGCCTTCTTCAAAGGTCAAAGGTTATCTTTGATTATTAATGTTAATTCAGATTTTTTTTTAAATAAATTTTGATAATTTTACACTGTTTTTCAGCTACGGACTCGTCATGTAGAGGTGTACGCTCAGTTTGGTGGGGCGCCATGTTCAGGAGAAGCGACCGAAACACAATCATGCGTCCCACAGAAAACCTGTCCTGTTGAAGCAGGGTGTGGCGGCAGGTTCCGTTGCACCTCTGGTATGTTGAATACATGAAGCTAAGTTAATTCAATATCACCATTACCATCACTATCAGCTGATGTTGATCAAATTTTAACATAGTGGCTGTCCTATAAGCTAAAATGTCCATTATCTGACACGCTTGTCCCAAGTGGGGTTGCGAGGGGTGCTGGTGCCTATCTCCAGCAGTCAACAGGTGAGAGGCGGGGTCAACCCTGGACAGGTCGCCAATCCATCGCAGGGCAATACAGAGACAAACAGGACATACAACCATTCACACACCCACTCACACCTAAGGACAATTTAGAGAAGCCAATTAACCTAACAGTTTTAACCTAACAAGTTTTTTGGACTGTGGGAGGAAGCTGGAGTACCCGGAGAGAACCCATGCTTGCTCAGGGAGAACATGCAAACTCCATGCAGAAAGACCCCAGGCCGGGAATCACTACCCACTGCGCCACTGAGCAGCCTCTCGCTAAAATGTGCCATTATTAATAATTGATCTTTTGCAGCTAGTGTTTGCTTTCACAACTTTTTTTATTTGTTGAGCATCAGCAAAGCTTATGGTTTAGATATGCAGTGATGGATTGTGGACTTTTTAACTCCAGCAAGGAAGCACTGTTAGAGGCAAGGTACCCTTTAACACTGTTAAGGGGGTAGAAAAATATGTCTAACATGTCTTACATCGATATATCGGACAAAAATCAATATAGACAAAGGCCCACTTTTGATTGGTGTAGCCCCATCGGAAAGACTAAGAACTGAAGTGTTAAAAATGACAAATTTCACAAAAGTAGGAATAAAAAAAAAAAAACAAATGTAAAAATATTCACCCATCTTGATGCAGGTCAGTGTATCAGCCAATATTTGGTTTGTAATGGAGACCAAGACTGCGAGGATGTCTTAGATGAGCAAAGCTGTGGCCAAAGCAGCAGCCAGTACTTGTGTGATCTCGTCAAAACACCTCCCAACTCGGACCTCACAGGCAAAGGGTGAGTTCATCATCATGCATGTGAAGCGGTACAGAACGTTTGCAGGGAATAAACTTACTTTTACCACAGATAGCGTCATTGAAAGCATTTGGTTCACAGATATGACACGCTGACAGGGAAACTGAAAGCAGGTGTGATTAACACCTTGAGTTTTGGAGGACAGTGCAGGAAGGTTTTCAGTGGGAACCATAATGTGATGTATCGACTGCCACAGAACATCCTCAGGTTCAGCTTCGAGGTAAGACATTCAGGTTTGACTTAAAAAACTTTTTTCCTTGAAATGAAACTTAGGATTTGAAGATAAGATGTCTGGTTGGGTGTGAATTAGTTTGATTTGGTCCAAAGTGGTAAAGTATTAGTGCTTGTAATTGTCAATGTCGTTGAAGGTGTGTGGTTATGCTGCAGGTCCATGTAGACAATGAGGAAAGTGATGAGTCTTATGAGAGCTCATGGTCCTACGTTCAGCACATCCAGTCCAATGCTTTGATAGGACATGACCGCCGCAGCTTCCACAAAGAAGTCTCTGACAACAAGGTGACGTGATAATCTGATCCACTTTAGCAAGCACTTTGAAAGTCACCGGGTTCTTATGCTAGGCTGGAAAATATAGGGAGATATGTTTATATTCAAATCCCACCCATCCATCGTCCATCCATCCATCCACCCATCCATCCATCCATCCATCCATCATCCATCCTTCCATCCATCCATCACCCATCCATCCATCCATCCATCCATCACCCATCCATCCATCCATCCATCCATCATCGGTCCATCCATCCATCCATCCATCCATCCATCACCCATCCATCCTTCCATCCATCCATCCATCATCGGTCCATCCATCCATCCATCCATCCATCCATCCATCCATCCATCCATCACCCATCCATCCATTATCGGTCCATCCATCCATCCATCCATCCATCCATCCATCCATCCATCCATCCATCCATCCATCCATCCATCACCCATCCATCCTTCCATCCATCCATCCTTCCATCCATCCATCCATCATCGGTCCATCCATCCATCCATCCATCCATCCATCCATCCATCCATCACCCATCCATCCATCCATCACCCATCCATCCTTCCATCCATCCATCACCCATCCATCCATCCATCCATCCATCCATCCATCACCCATCCATCCACCCCATCCATCACCCCACCAATTTCCATCCCCCTTT